ATGGGAATTCAGCATCTCAAATGGGGGAGTTAAATATAATGTTTAAAAATTGTGTTTTATATCTGAAATGGGAGTGACTAGATGTTCTGTTTTCAACATTACATTTTATAGCTGAAATAGGCTATGGATTTTGCTGCAGGGCAACAGAATGAAGGGAAGAATTCTTCTTTATGTTGTAAATTAAATCACTAGGTCTTCTGGTTCATGCACGCAGGTTATGTGCATTTGGAATGTTCTAGACCTCCCCAAATGTCTTGATGGGAGCCCTGAACTGCCCTATCAGGCATGACTAGCTCATTTTAATTTTGTCCTGAATAAAATTATCAGACAGCATAATAAGAGAATTTCACAAAAGGCTCTTGATGCACACCTGTTCTTGAGTACTACATTTTAATTATTGAACCATCAGGGAAAAATATTCTTATTGGAATGCATCCCTCCTTGATGAGCCTTTGAAAGACATATCAAACCAGCTATCCGGGTTTAACTCAGTGGTTTAAATATTTTAATTCCATAGGCTAAATTAAATTGGCCACTTCTTCTTGTTCCCTCGCCACCAGACCCTTAGAAATTGTGAGCCACACAGAGTAGTTTTGTTGTGTGACGCCCAAATCTAATAAATTATTGGCCAGTGTATTTGAAAATCTCAGTATTGAAGGCTTATGAGTATTGTTAGTAGCACGTATGCCAAGTTCAGTTGTTACACGTACTTATTCTCAGCCCTGGCCAGATAGAGCCTCCTCAGCTTCTCATGGCTAAATCCAGCCCTGACAGCATCCACCTTCAGAGAGGGTATCTTACCAAAGAGTTAAACCAGAAATAGAAGAGTCTACTACTGCAGCTTGATTGTTGATGAAAACTGGAATAGCATCTTCTGCAAGGAACTGTTCCCAGCATTAAGTTGATTGCCCAAGAAGATTACTTGCATGAGCAAATGTTTATATACATCACAGTTCATTTGCAAACAAATAAGTGTGTCATTAGTCTTCTGGCATCTTGTGATATAAACATCCACTCTTAATGAGACACACAATGCCTACTCCTTCTGGCAGCTGCCTCCATGTTCAAATAGGAGCACATGAATAAGAGCACGCCCCAATTCATATATAGAAAATTTCAACCCCTCTGGTAGCCATGCCTATAAATCTGGAGCAATGGCACTGAAGCTTTTCTCATGGAGTTGGTGGGTTGTATGGAGAAAGACATTCTACCTGTGACAGCCAACCCTGTATCTGCCAGCTGCCAGAACTTTGAAGCTAAGCAGCATCTTGTAGGATCAAAGCAAATGAAGCAAAACAGATGTTGTTAAATCAGAAAGCAAAACACCTTCTGTTCCTAACAAAAATATTAGGAACAGCTTACAATCCCAGAGGCCTAGAGGAATTCCTCTGAGGAATGTTCGTTGTTTAAAAATCATGTTCCTCTTCTTGTCTCAAAGTAACGGTTGTTATAAATAATGAAACTTACCTTGGTTTTCTTCTCTTCCTCGCTGAACAGCACATTGTCCATGACAATCTGGCATTATCTGGTCTTATTCTGAACAGTCAATAAGCCATAAAGTTCTAATAAGTAGAATTTCACATCAGATTTAGAAAATAAATTTAAGAAGTTGTTCTTAGTTAACTGTGCTTGGGACTAATGATTCTGAATGTGTGTTAGCACCAGGCATGAGAATCCAATCTGTCATATTTTAATAGGTTTCATAGTTTGCAGCACTAAACAAGATGATAACCTTGGCTTTATATAACAGCCCCAAATTACTTGAAATGTACAGGTGATAAACCCAGGCTCTGGTCTGCCAATAAAGTTAAGTGGAATTGCACACAGATCATCATAGTGGGATCTCATTTCATTTACAGTATCTCACAAGCCAGTGGTGCTAATGTAAAACGTACATGACATGAAAGTGTCAAGGCCATTGTGCCGTGCTAAAGACTCACTTTTCTCCTGCCAATTAAGTTGCATTCCAGCTCTAAAACTATGACCATGTAGTTGCAGATCTTTCATGCAGTTGTGCTTGAGAAGCGTTATCATCTGCTAATAAGGTTGCCTGCATGTTTTTTAAATTCTCCGTGTTAGAAAAGGCATTTAAGAAAAATCCTTGGCCAACAGGCACCTGATAAATATCTCAGTAACAAAATATGTAGTTGATACCTTGATCCCACAAGGGTTGAGGCATCTGAGGTCTCCAATCTAAAGAGCTGATTCTCAAACTAGGATCATTCTTTGCTACAATATATACATACAGGTAGTCCTTGACTTACGACCACAATAGGGACCATAAAATTCATTGTTAAGCAGTGTGGTCATTAAGTGAGGCATCACATGGCCACACCCAATTTTACAACATTTTTTGCCAGAGTCGTTAAGTGGGACATCATGTGTCTGACTTACGACCTTCCCTTCCGACTTCCCCATTGACTTTGCTTGTCAGAAGTCAGCTGGGAAGGTCGCCAATGGCAGTCACATGACCGCAGGATGCTGTGATGGTCGTAAGTGTGAGGGCCGGTCATAAGTCACTTTTTCAGCGCTGTCATAACTTTGAATGGTCACTAGATGAATGGTCGTAAATCAAGGACTACCTGTACAGCAGTGTGTATATGGAAAGGTCAATATGGTGACCACCTGCTAACTTGATCCATACTGCTGCCTAAGAGTGTACTGGAGAGAGTGTGAATCTGCTAGAATTGTTATTAGAGACTTTTGGGTTTTCACCTTGTCTGAGACAGGATACTGTGTTAGCTCTATGAGCCTATAAGGTAAATAGAATGGTTTTTCTATGAACTGGCAGTACTCTGTTTACCTTATAGGCTGGCACAGCTAACACAGTATCCTGTCCCAAGAAAGATGAACACCCAAAGGTCTTTAACAACCCTCTGCCTTCTCTGCCTTGATGGTTGAGGATCTCCAGTTTTATAAAGAACCTGCCTTTAACTCTCTAATGCTTCAAGATTGGGCGGGGGGAGTGTCCATGAACTTCTCCCCACCACTCTCTTTCCATCAAAATCATCATTCTTTCAGTCCTTGAAAGAAGATGTCTCAGCCACTTAGCTACGTAGACCTTTTGGTGATTTTGCACACACTGTTGTCTTTTTTTCTCTTGTAGGACTAGATAATTTGAGTAACTAATTATCCTGTGCAGCCACCAATTTCTACTTCAGCAAGCAAAAAAGAACTTTATATCCCCTACAAGTTAGCAGCAATAACTTGGGAAAGACCAGGGTTTCCCCAAGTGTAGTCTGTGGCTGATAGCGGTCCTTGTTTAGACAACCACAAAACTGGTTCTTGCTCTCTTTCTTTCCCCATGCTGGCTGGGGAATTCTGGGAGTTGAAGTCCACACCTCTTAAAGTAGCTGAGGCTGAGAAACCCTCTTCTAACTAGATCAGGTGGCCTAAGCCACATTATGGCCACATCACCATTGTGGATATGCACAAGCTTGTGTTTATGACTACAACAAAGGTACTGGGGGGAAAAAACAGCCTCCAGTAATAAAGTGTGGGAAATCCAGAGCTACTCGACACAACTTTTATTGAATCCTGATTTGTTTTCGAATTACTCTGACTTAAAACAAACAACAGCTTAGAAATGTTTCAGTGTATCTACTCTTAGAGATGGCCATTTTAACCTGTTATAATAACTGATAAGTCCCTAATATGTATTCTACTCATTTTGGAAAGAAAATACCCATTAATGTTTTTCCAACTATTCATTTAAGATCTTGGGGCAGGATAATTTTTTTTTTAATTCTTCTATTTCTTTTCCTGTTGCAACGCTCTTAATGAAGGAAGAAAATGTCTGAATGGTTATGGATTCTTTCTTTGGGTGATGTGGAGAGATGGGGTGAAAGAGAGAATCTATTTTCTGATTTGAGTATGTCTTGCTACTTTATGTATTTAATAAATTTTCCTGAAAGTTGTTTCTGGAGATCATCTTAGATGCTGTAGGAAGTGATAAAAATTAGAATGGATGTGCTGAAAGAGCCAACTCTTAATAAGTTTCTTTTCATACTTTAGGGTTTCTGTTAATCTATTCTAAATGAAGTTCAGTAGTTTCAAATGTGTTTTGTTGATACTCCTTTAAAAATAGTTTTTGTTCACAAAGCTCAGAATATGCATGAATGAAAAGAACATTATAACAATTACTCTCTACTAGTTCATGGTCCTTCTATTCTGTAAATGTAATATGTAAATAATATTTACATTTCTATGCAGTTGAATAATTGTCTAAAATGAATATAGCTACAAAGGTGTGGAGACTGTCTGCTGAAAGACTTCCATCTGTTTATTTTCTGTTAATGAGTACGTTACTAAATTAAAACTATATTGTTGCAACTAATTGAGCTAACATAATGCATTTGTTCTGCTTCATCATCAGCACCATGTTTAAGGGTTGATTAGGGATTAATCACATCCCACTTCATTATTTTTGCTAACCAATTTATAGCTATGGCCAACATTTGTATGAAATAACAGTTTGGCTTTCTTTTTCCTACCTTGTTTTGCTTTACAGAACCTCAGTGAAGCGAGTGGTGAAAGCAATGAATCGAATCGACCAAAGAAAACATGAAAAATTTGCAAATCAGTTCAACTATGCGCTGAACTAATGTCATCAAGAGCAGGACCAAGAAAACTCCATGGTGGTTTTTAGTGCTCCATCAGCCTATACCAGTGTTTTTCAAACTTGGCAACTCTAAGATGGGTGGACTTCAACTCCCAGAATTCCCCCCCCCACCCCCCCCCTGCGGGGGATTTTTGGGGTGTGGGGCTATCCACACATAC